CCTCCAACACCTGGTCTCCTCAGGTCCTCCAACACCTGGTCTCCTCAGGTCCTCCAAAAACCTCCAACACCTGGTCTCTTTAGGTCCTCCAAAAACCTCCAACACCTGGTCTCCTCAGGTCCTCCAAAAACCTCCAACACCTGGTCTCTTCAGGTCCTCCAACACCTGATCTCCTCAGGTCCTGCAAAAAACCTCCAACAACAGGTCTCCTCAGGTCCTCCAAGACGTCCTCCAAAAACCTCCAACACGTGGTCTCCAGGTCCTCCAAAACCTCCTACACCTGGTCTCTTCAGGTCCTTCAAAACTTCCAACACCTGGTCTCTTCAGGTCCTCCAAGACCTCTAACACCTGGTCTCTTCAGGTCCTGGATGTTCAGACTGTTATTAAAAGAGGAGATGTCAATGTGGACCTGGACCTACTTTCTACAGATCCGTTGCTGCCATCAAAATCAAAATGACAAATCATCTCATTTTATTTTCTCATTTTATTCATCTCAACTTTTTTGGAATCAGATCTGTACAATGGAGTCGGAATATTTCATGTTTTGTCCCATCATCTTTATTTTTAAACTTCTATTACTGCATTTTCAAATACGATACATTCCAGAGAACGGTCACTTGTACCTATAATTCAGATCAGATTTTATTAAAACAGCTGATGCATACTAACTGGAACACTGCCGCCGCTGATATTCAGCTAATTAATTTTCCTCTGTCATGGTTTGTGGTTTGGTACTCCTCGTGTAGACTTTGAAAATATTGTACAAAAATTCATGAAAACATCAGAAATAGTGACTTTTTGAAGGAGCATCTTGCAATGTAGAAAAAACAATCTTGTATAGGTAAAAATATTACTTTATTAGTCTGTTCAGAAAACCCAGCCTCCTTTGGAGCTCAGACTTTACTGTAGAAACTCCTCGGATAACGTTACTAACTTACATTTTATGTATGTGAATGTTCTTGTTCAGTGCCCTGAGATGACTTCTGTTGTGACTTGGCACTACATGTATAGAAATAAACTACTGAAATGAAGCGTCATTTAAAGTTGAATTGGGTCACTGAACGCTGGACTTTGCCTGCAGGTTGGGTTGAATGTATGCGAGTCTCTGTTTTTACAGTAACTTGTCATATCTTCTACAAAAAAAAGCACTTTGGCTCAGTAAAAATTCACATGTAGGACCACCAGATGTTTCTGCTGCTCATGGTTCAAAAATAATTTTGATCCAACTTATAGTTTTCACACAGTGACAGTTTGATTGAGGCTCCATTTCTAATTTAGCATCTTCTGCTACCTTTGTTGCCCCTCCTCCTTTTGGAAAGGGGGGGAATCACCGTGGCGACCAGTGACTCAGCAGATTATGAAATGGTGGATTTTCTATTATTCTGCAGTTTCTTCTTTCATGTATTTTCCCCATCATGGCTGCTCTCAGAAATCCTAAATACAGACTTGTTGTCAACTTTTAATATGATTTTTAGAAGTCCTACTAAAAGGCAGTGGGCGGGGACTTAATTTTCAAAATAGAGGCCACAGATACTTTTCATAATAAGAGTCTGTCTCTGTCGTTACAAAAGTAAGTTTTAAACACATAAAGGATCTAAAAGAAGAAAGTTGAAGGATGTTGTTTCCAGTGTTGCTGTTGGTGGATTTTAATCTGTTGCTTTCTGCAGGGATGTTTTGTTTTTGATAGCTCTTTTACCGTACGGTGAAGTGAAAGACAAAAAATAGTCATTCCTGATTGATTGCCAGAGGCGATTAAGAGAGCAGGTGAAGTTTGATGAGTGATGGTGATAGTTTACTGTTTAATGAAATGTACCAACACTGACAGCGAGAAGTAGAAGTAAAAAAAAAAATAAAACGAAGATAATATAAACTCTTTAATTTTTTTCTAATTACATTTTTTATTCTATCCTAACAGCCTTTATCTTTGCCGTATTTGGGCATAATCTGGACTGTTTTGTTTTTCATTAGCTGAAAAGTTTTATTTAAGATTTTATTTTTTAAGTCAAATTAATTCACACTAAGATAAGATACAACTTTATTAATCCCGCAGGAAATTGTTGTGCCAGAGTTTCAGAATAAAGGAACATACACAAGAATTACACAAGATGTAAAAAAATAACAGAATATAAAAATACCAACAATTAAGTTCTAAAGCAGGTCAGGTGCAGACAGAAACATTAAAGTGTTTATTGTGGTGCAGGATTATTTTATTGTGTAGAAAGGGGGAGGAGTTGAACAGTTTGAAGGACTTCCTGTGTTGTTCTGTGGAGCACCTCGGTGGTCTCAGTCTACGACTGAAGGTGCTGCGGTAAGAGTCCAGGGTGGCATGCATGGGGTGTGACGTGTTGTTCAGGATCTGGAGCAGTTTCCTCAGCATCCTCTGCTCAGACACCTCTGTCAGAGACTGCAGGTCCACAATGTGTGTAGTGATAGTTGCGAGGATGTTGCGTCAGACCATTTCAAAACGGTGCAAAAAAAAATTATATTTATAGCAAATAAAATCCAAAGATTCACTGTGAAAAGCTTCAGAAAGTTTAGATAATGACTTATCAAGAAAATGTACAGACGGATCAGAGAAGAGTTTCTTGGAGTCCAAGGTCAAAACCGGTTACAGTACGAAGTGGCAGATCTTATCAGGGTGGGTTTTCTGACTCGAAGCGATAAAACCAGTCGGACTGATATGGTGTGCTGCCAGAACAGTTCACTGCTTTATGGTGTACAGGAAGGCGTGTCTGGCTAAATGATTAACGGTCAAAGAGTAACGTCGTAAAGCTGCAGCCGGATGAAAAGTAAAATATTTTTAAAATGGGAATAAGAAAAAATAAGAATAATTTCAGAATAATGTTCTTTAAATAAAACTGGGAAGACTTTGACTCTCCCATCATCCACAGTTCATAATATCATCAAAAGATTTTCGTAGTTATCTTTGAGTTCAGAGGTTCGGGACGAAGGTCAATATTGGATGGTTGTGATCTTGTGGCCCTCGGGGGGCCACTGCATTAAAAACAGGTCTGGTTCATCCACATATGGTGCTTAAAGCTCTATCAGGCAGCGAAGAAGACAGATGTGAAGACTATCCAGAGCTCATTTCAAAAATGGATTGAAGTCCAGAACTGTTCAGAGGTCGGATGGATCCAAATCTGAAGTTGTTTTTGAAAACTAGAAATGCCTGTTATCAGTTCACAGTTCAACAGCCTGCCTCTCTGATGGTATGGGGGTGCATTAGTGCCTCTGGCATGTTAACCTTGCACATCTGGAAAGACTCCAATCAATGCAGAAAAAATACCTACAAGTTTTAGAACATCTGCTCCCATCCAGGACTGTTGAACAGCTGGAGTCCATCAGACCAGAATGGGATAAGATTCCCTCCAAAACCTCCAACACCTGGAGTCCTCATGTCCTCACATACAGCACATCTATTCCTGTATTTTAAGTTGCAACATGTTCCAGAAGAAGTTTGCATGTGACTGTAATTATGTACAAAAGTAAGCTTTAATCTCATAATAATTTTAATGGACTTCGTTTGAAATCTTTTAAATAAAGTGGATCTGACTGGAAGTGAGAGATGGTTCCATATTCTTGAATCAGCAACACAAAAAGCTTCGTCCTCGTTCGAGCCTTTGTTTGGACCTCGGAGTCGGCACCTCCAGGAGAAGCTGAGAGGCAGCAGGAGAGTTCAGGTGAAGCAGCTCGGAGAGGTAGGATGGAGCAAGACCATTTAAACTTTTTAAAACAAATAAAAGTATCTTAAAATTAACTCTTAAAAAGAACAGGCAACCAGTGGAGTGAAGCCAGAGTGGGGGTGATGTGCCCCTCGCATGAACTCCAGTTAGAAGCTGAGCAGCAGCATTCTGGACCAACTGGAGACGTTTGATGGAGGATCGGTCAACTCGGAGGTAAACAGTGTTGCAGTGATCAAGCTGGAATGTGATGAAGACATAATGCTCCAAAGGTCATGTGAGGATCAACTTTACTCTTGTCAGCTGCCTGACCTGGCCTTTGTGGGATTCCTAGGTTTGCCTGTCATAACCACTTTCCCCACAGCTGACAATGGTCCAGTCAAGCCACCATTCCACACCTGCACCTGATCCTGTCCACTACCCTGCACAGTACTTAAGGACTTGGCAGGCAGTCATTCATCCCACACTGGAACATCAGGATACGTATGCCTTCTTCCTCCGTGTCCTTCCAAGTCCTCTCTGCTTCCTCGAAGCTCGCCAGTCATCATCTCTGCTCCTGCAAACCAAATGTCAGCCTGGATCAACTTCACCATCGCCCTGTCACTATCTCCAATGCTACTGACCTTTTGGATCAAACAAGACACCACTCCTAGGAACCACTGGATCTCCTCTTTCACCATCTGCAAACAAACAAACTACAGTAGGACTTCTGCAAGAAAGAAATATTAAATCATTGATCCTCAAACCTTGTCTGTATTCACCTCTACCTAGTTTTCCTTTCAGCAACATTTCCCACCCTCACTTGTAAATAAAGACACTTACCTGCTCTACTTTCTAGTCCTTGTTATCAGTCTGCTAGCTTTGGGTCCAAACACCATCACTTCTGTTTTCCTTTTGTTAAAATTTTAAGTTGAATGACATCTTGGTTTTGATGTCTTCAAGACACAACAGAAGTGGCCTGATTGAGATGGCATCCTTCTTTCTTAGCTGCATATAAATCTGACTGTCATCAGCGCAACTGTGAAGAAAGATGCTTCCTGAGGACTGAACCCAAAGGAAGCAAGTATAGGGAGAAAAACAGGGGACCTAATCTGGAGCCCTGTGGAACCCCAAAAAACAGAGGAGCAGTGGAGGATTCAGAACCAGATATGTTGACACACATGGTTCTAACTGCCAGATATGACCTAAATCAGATAAGGGCAGTACCACAGATACCCACTTGGTACTTGTCAACAAGGCACTAAAATGTTGTGGTCCACTGTGGAGCAGGACAAGAACCAAATGTTCACCAGAATCATTAGCCATAAGAACGTCTTTAAGATGTGGTGCTGTGCCAAATTTTGAAACCAGGATATTGTGTTAATCAGAAAAACACTTGATCTGATCTGGGAATATATACCCCCCCCCCCCCCCCCCCCCAGACCACAAGGGGAACCTGTCGGCCTATTTTGTCCAACTACATCATCTGAAAGGGTCAGAGTCACTGTTTCAAACGTATCAACCTCAGCCAAGCATGGGGACCGAGCAGGAGGAGTCAGGATCAGAGTCTGAGATGAGAGCCTTTGTGGGAACAACCTTATTTATGAGGAACCACAGGAAGCTATCAGGATTTTTATTGTCATTCACATCACATGTGGTACATGAGGTGGAATGAAACTATGTACACAGGGATGTATTACATACATCAAAAGAAAGTTCTAGGCAAACAGGTTGTTGGGCCTTAAGAACAGATCGATGACATGTGGGTTCTTTGGATTGGACGCCATACTGCTTGTGAAACGTTCGGTCAGCCTGTTGGGCAGTGCTGTGGTTCTGAAGCTGACAGGCCGATGGCTGCACCAGTTCTTTCACTGATCCAGGGTTCAGGTCTGGCTTCAGGCTGCATCACTTTTGATGGAGCCACAAAGACCAAAATGATTTGACAGGAGGCGTCAAACCAGGAACTTAGTTGCTTGGTATCAGCAGCAAACTGGTGGTGGTGGGGTGTGTGGGTGTGGGTGGGGGGGGGGGGTGAAGGTTAGAGAAGGCGAGCCTGCAACCGATCACCACCTCAAGTCCACCGACTGTACATCAAAATTTGTGTGAGTGAGGTGAAGCACCCTCACCTGCAACACATTTGCCCTGCTTTGGGCCCTTGAGCAAACCCCCCCCCCCCCCCCCCCCCCAGCTGCTCCCTGGATGTGTGGGATGGAAGCCCTCTGCTCCACAGAGATGCCGATAAAACCGATGATCAGAAATCACATCACTTTTTTCCAGACAATCAGTGAGAGAGAACAAGGTCCAATGTGTGTCCGGGTCGGGTTGGGTTGGTTCTGACGGACACTCCCTCCTGTAGAAGTTGGAGCGCTCCACGACTCAGACTTCAGTCTCACCATGAAGATCCAACTGTTCACCTGCGGAGTCCTGCTGCTGGCCTTGACGGCTCCAGGTGAGTCTCACCCCTGAGTCTGGACCTCACCTGTCTGTCCCCGGAGGACGGACACAAACACGTGTTTACCTTCACACCGACCAAATGTTTACCTTTTGAAAGAGCTGCTCACTGACTCGGTTTGGTTTGACCGGGTCCGTCCGACCTGAGGGAGCAGCTGTTGTTCTGTGAGGGTTTTGTTGTTGTTTCAGATGGTTTGTTTTTGTTTACTTTGTTCTGATATTTGATTTCCAAACGGGCTTAGAACCAGTCGAACCAGCAGAGATGTTCCGAGGAACCGTTACGTTCTCCGTTCGTTCTCTGACGGGCCGCTCAGGTCGTCAGGAGACCTTTAAAGGGATAGTTCAGCCTTTTTGAAGCAGCTTTCTGTGTTCAAGTTAATTATAAACAGAAAAATTAGCATTTTCTGAGAACAGAACATTAGCCGAAACGATCAGAACACAAGGTGAAGTGAGAAGAACACCAGCTGAAACCTAAAATAAATTCAAAGAGCATAAAAGCATAAACCAGCACAACAGTAGATGAATATTTAGCACAGTAGCAACAAATAAAACTACAAAAACAGTAGCTAAATGCCAAAACTAACGAGACACCAGCTAAAAGATAAATAACTGCTAAATCATAAGCAGAACAGTATGCTGAACAAAATAACAACTAAAAATTTAAATGACTAAACTAGGAGCTAAAAGCTTAAATTAGCAGAACAATTGCTAAAATTAACTCAACAGTAGCTAAAAGCTTAAACCAGAACAATAATAAAAATCTAAAGAATGGTTAAAAGCTGAAACCAGCCAAACATGAGCTAAAAGCTATGAACAGCTCATTAGTAGTAGTAGAATAGTTTTTTTGTTGTTTTTGTTTTTAAGAAGTTTTTAAAGATCTTTTTTGATGTTTTTTTGTCAAATTCCAGGTTTTAGTTTTTTGTGTTGCAACATTTTCACATCAACTAAAAATACGGAGCAGAAGTTGGTCTATAAATTTGTCAAAACAGAACTTTAAAGACTGAATCATTTATCAGGACATTAAACCTCTTAGTTCTGAATTGTGTGAAAGCTGTCCACCCAGTGCTGTCTAAAGTACGGGTCAGGGTCCATAAAAGGGTCACAGGATGAATCTCAGCGGCCCTAAAACGATTTAAAGACAAAAAAAATCTGATTTATTCTTAATTTCACTCTAATTTTTAAACCACAAATATTTGACTGAAACAGGAATAGATTCCCTTCAATCAACTTTTTACATTAAAATGTTTAATTCATATTTTTAGTTCTGATTCATTAAATAAATCACCTTCTAGAGCTTTCCTAGTTTAATTTCATTTAGGCAAATTTAATTTATCTTTAATCCAGCGAAGTAAAGTTCAAACATTCACTTAAAATCAACATTAAACTATTCGATCCAAGACATTACAACAAGCCTCAGTTCCTCAGAATTCAAGGAAAATGTAAAATATTGGGTCAAAACTTGGTAAAAGAAGAAGGTTCTGTTGGTGGAAACACGTCTGAGCTTCTGTTTGCTGTTCCTCCCACAGGAAGTGATGCGCAGCTCGATGGTAAGTGTTTTTAAACTGTCCTTTTTAAAAAGAAGAGCTGAAAATTGAGTCAGTAAATTAAATTTGGTGGAACTTTCCTACAGTTTGGTGCATTTGTCAGTTTTTTTCCCTCACTTCCTCGTCTTTTTCAATAATCAGCAAAAATTAAAAAAATGAGTTCATATTTAATTAAAACTCAGATTAGTGAATTTATTTAAAGTCAAAAGAGGGATATGATAGACAATAGACATTTTTTAACTGTTTTAGTATGTTTTTTCCTAACATATGTCGTGCAAATGAAATAAGGTCACAAGTGCTTTTATTGCTTGAATGTTTTATAAGTACTGAATTTTACAAACTGAAAGCTGGCAAATAAAATCCATAATAAAAGCAGGTAAAACGAAATTAACATTCCTCAAAGGAATCACCTTTAACCTGTTGCCTGCTACGCTGAGTGGAAACTACAAGTCGTGTCAAAAACAGAAAGTTCTGGTGGCCTTATGTGTAAATTTTAATTATCTTCAGTGGTTTGTGTAGGAGATGTGAGAAGTTAGAGACCCTTTATTTTCATATTTTAAGAGAAAACTTGATTGAAGTCGATGAGAGTTTGGGTGTTGGCTTCACCTGTTCACCTGTTCATCCTGCTGATTGTTGACAGATAATCTCCTGAATCTGTTTCCTTTAACTTCATGTTTCCTCATGTTTTAACTTTTACATTTATTTCCTGATTCTTTATCACTGAGATCATCTTTGTCTGTGTTTGTGTTTTGGGTTCTTCCTTTCTCGTTTCATCCCGATGCACCAGTTAAAAATCCTTATTTATAAATTTAATAAAAGAATGAATAAATATGCCTGAACACAGCAAAGATGTATGTTAAAGTTCAGTTCCTGCAGCAGTTTGACGGGCGAGCATTTTTCTGCAGTTTGCGGCTCTGCTCCGCTCAACAGCAAGATCGTTGGAGGTCAGCCGGCGGCTGCCGGGGCCTGGCCCTGGCAGGCCACTCTGGACATCCGAGGCGCTCTCTGTGGGGGGTCTCTGATCAACAACCAGTGGGTCCTCAGTGCTGCTCACTGCTTTTCCAGGTGAGCTCTGATTCAAAATCATATTTAGTTGAAGGGAGAGAAAAAATATCAACTGGAGGGACAGAGAGATCAGGCTGGAAAGGATGTGCAGCAGGTTAGGCATGTTAAAGAGAGAAATGGTAATGTTCTAACAAGTGAGGAGGGTGTGACAGGAAGATGGAAGAAGTACTTTCAGGAGCTAATGAATGAAAAGAATGAAAGAGAAAGAAGAGCCGAGGTCATCAAGATCTGGGAGAGGGTTGCTCGCTTTAATTTGACATCTTGACATTTCAGCATCTTAGCCCAAACCAGTGAAACTTTGTCGTCCATCACCTCGCATGCTGACGTTCATATGTGAGACGCCTGACTGTGCACATAGAGCACGTAATTCTGAAGCTTCAGGGGCCGTGCATATACAGGTGCTGGTCATAAAATTATATTATCATGAAAAAGTTGCTTTATTTCAGTAATTCCATTCAAAAAAGTGAAACTTGTATATTATATTCATTCATTTTACACAGACTGATATATTTCAAATGTTTATTTCTTTTAATGTTGATGATAACTGACAACTAATGAAAACCCCAAATTCAGTATCTCAGAAAATAAGAATATTACTTGACCAATTTAAAAAAAGGATTTTTTAGAAATGTTGGCCAACTGAAAAGTATGAACATGAAGTATGAGCATGTACAGCACTCAATACTTGGGGCTGCTTTTGCCTGGATTAATGCAGCAATGCAGCGTGTCATGGAGTCGATCAGTTTGTGGCACTGCTCAGGTGCTATGAGAGTCCAGGTTGCTCTGATGGTGGCCTTCAGCTCTTCTGAACTGTTGGGTCTGGTGTATCACATCTTACTCTTCTCAATACCCCATAGATTTTCTATGGGGTTAAGGTCAGGCGAGTTTGCTGGCCAATTAAGAACAGGGATACCATGGTCCTTAAACCAGGTACTGGTAGCTTTGGCACTGTCGGAAGGTGCCAAGTCCTGTTGGAAGAAGAAATCTGCATCTCCATAAAGTTGGTCAGCAGCAGGAAGCATGAAGCGCTCTAAAACTTCCTGGTAGACGGCTGTGTTGACCTTGGACCTCAGAAAACATAGTGGACCAAGACCAGCAGATGACATGGCCCCCCAAACCATCACTGACTGTGGAAACTTGACACTGGACCTTAAGCAACATGGATTCTGTGTCTCTCCTCTTTTTCTCCAGACTCTGGGACCTTGATTTCCAAAGGAAATATAAAATTTACTTTCATCAGAGAATACAGTATAACTTTGGGCCACTCAGCAGCAGTCCCAAGCAAGACCCTTCTGATGCTGTCTCTTGTTCAAGAGTTGCTTGACACAAGGAATGCGACAGCTGAAACCCTTGTCTTGCATACATTTGTTCGTGGTGGTTTTTGAAGCACTGACTCCAGCTGCAGTCCACTCTTTGTGGATCTCCCACACATTTTGGAATGGGTTTTGTTTCACCATTCTCTCCAGGGTGCGGTTATCCCTATTGCTTCTACACTTTTTTCTACCACATCTTTTCCTTCCCTTCGCCTCTCTATTAATGTGCTTGGACACAGAGCTCTGTGAACAGCCAGCCTCTTTAGCAATGACCTTTAGTGTCTTGCCCTTCTTGTTCAAGGTGTCCATGGTCGTCTTTTGAACAACTGTCAATTCAGCAGTCTTCTCCATGATTGTGTAGCCTACAGAACTAGACTGAGAGACCATTTATAGGCCTTTAAAGGTGTTTTGAGTTAATTAGCTGATTTGTGTGGCACCAGGTGTCTTCAATATTGAACCTTTTCACAATATTCTAATTTTTGGAGATACTGAATTTGGGGTTTTCATTAGTTGTCAGTTATAATCATCAACATTAAAATAAATAAATCTTTGAAATATATCAGTCTGTGTGTAAGGAATGAATATAATATACAAGTTTCACTTTTTAAAGGGATTACTGAAATAAAATCAACTTTTTTATGATGCTCTAATTTTATGACCAGCAGCTGTAGATGAAGAAAGACGGGGTTTTTAAGCATGCCAGGTTGTAGCCCAAGACTAGTTTCCATCTGTTTGTCCCTCAGCTGGTTGATGTTCATATGGACATACGAAATACGGCACCAGTACAAATGAGGACAAACCATCTAAAGTACAGCGAAGAACACAAGAGCTGCATGACTTTACAGAGCAGGTAAACCCAGGACAGCAGTAAAGGAAACATATTTTTAAACATGAATAAAAGACTATAAAACTATTATAAACTATTGCTCTAACACTTGTGTCAATACAACGTAATTTAAAGTAACTGGTCACGACACTGGTGAGTTTTGAGCCACACCTTCAAGTTCCCTTATAACAGGTGTCTGCAACCTTTTAGACCAAAAGAGCCATTTTTACTCTTCACTTACGAAACAAAGTGTGTCTAAAGCCGCAAAACCTGCTACAACAGTGATTATCAACT